GAGGGACAGACAGTACGTACACGTGTAGAACGCACGCCGGTGGCTCAAGGGTGGCAGCGACGACCAACTGAGCTGCCTCCTGCTACAACGCTCCCGGTCTGCACATTCCCCCATCCTGGCCCCTAGGCACGAGCACGTCAAAACACACATCAAACTTAACTTGGGCTTCAAAGAGGTGCCATTCAGGCCGCCAGACGGACTTTGTAGGCGGACCCGGGGCATCAAAGAGCTGGGCTGAGCTGCAGCATCCTCCCGTGCTGTGCTGACGAGGTCTGGCGCCAACTTGCACTGCAAACTTCTGGAAGCACCTCAAGCCGGCAGCCGACGCCGTCCGCTCCAAAATCCCACACCTCCCCATGAGATATCGCCATGTCAACGGCCTGCCGCGATTTTAACCCCTGTTTGTCGGACTTGTCGCCGCCCGTGGTGTCGGTGGATGTTTCGTCGCACTGAGCGCTGAGGCATCTGAATTTCCATCGAGGCGGATGCCAGGACGTGCCCCGCGCTCCCCAGACGAGAGGCATCGAGACATATTGGTCCCGCCAGCTCAGCGTCCAGAACCCACCGACAGACTCTCCCCGCCTGTTCCCGTCTCTCGCACATCCCAGACGTGCGCGCCTGTCTTCAGCCAAAACGCAACCCGACTCGCTGGCTGATCTTGCCCGAGCTATTCATCCCGAGCTGCTATTACCCCACATCTTGGAATCTCCAAATCCGTCCTTCCATCCCTCGTTGCGGCGCTGTTCTGTGCGTTTCAACTCGTCCACACTATGTAAGCGATGCCGGAGAGAGGAAACACACGACCGACGGAGGCATTGACGCTGACCAAGTTCTCCTCCAGATCCCCATCTACCTCGAACGTACGGAAGCCCGCGATCAAATCAAGCCTCGTTTTCCCCTCCCAGTGCTACAATGCGCCAGCGCCGTGCTTGACGCTTCCAGGGAAACATCAAACGCAAACCGAGGGCAAACCTCTAGGACCCAGGCAGGAGACAGGTCGAGACTCTCGGCACCCGAATCTCCAGGCCCTGTGACTACTTCCGCGACAGCCAAACCGGGAACTCTCCAACTCCCTCGGCGAAACCGAGCGTCTTGTCTTCCCCTCACGCGCCACGGATAGGTAGACAAGACGAAAGGGAGAACAAGCCGCTTCCCCAGACGTTGCCGTGGTTCGCGTTTCTGTGTGGGGAAGTCGTTGTTGGGTTGGTTATAGCATGAAAGCTGCCCGCCTAATTTCGATCTAGCCGACCCCTCCACAATTTACGGGACAGCGGGACGGGAGACGTCATTTCCTGACCTTAATATCTTTGTCGATTGCGGATTGGGAATTTCGGAACCTTCCAAACACCTTCGCGCACTCGACTTTCGGCTTCTGGGGGGGGCTTCTCCCGCCCCTGCCCGAGACATCATGCGACGGAACCGTGCTCCGACTCCTCCGGCCTCGCCCTACCGGGCGCTGGCGCACCACCATACCCACCATACCGCGGGTGCCCAGGCGGGACAGCAGCAGGTTCAGGATTCCGTGTCCTCGCTCATCAGGTCATTCAATGTGGCGACGAACCCGACGCGGCCCATGCGCCCCTCGCCGCTAACGGCTTCGACCATTCGAGACATGCCGCTTGACCTGGTCGACCGCATCCGATCCTTTCCCCTCTTCATGTCGGCCCCAGAAGACTTCCTGGTTGCCATAGGCGCACACCTCAGACCCCAAATCAACTCGGCCCACGACCACATCCTCAGCGAGGGGGACGAAGCAAAAGCAATGTACTGGCTAGTCCGTGGCGTCGTTGCCGTAACCTCCCGGGATGGCGAGGCCGTCTATGCCGAGCTCAAGCCGGGCGCCTTCTTTGGAGAGATCGGCGTGCTCATGGACATTCCGAGAACTGCCACCATCATTGCGAGAACAAAATGCCTGCTTGTGGTTCTCAAGAAAGAGGACCTCCAGGCTGAGCTACCGAAGTACCCCGAAATGGAGAAGGCAATTCGACAGGAGGCCCAAGAGAGATTGACCATCCTCAAGAAGAAGCGCCATGAAAATGGACAGGCCACCAAGCTACCCGATAGCACTGCCTCTAAACCGTCGCGCGAGGCGGCGCTAGGCAAAGTCAACACGGGGGAGGTAGGCATCATCAAAGAGGGGGTTGCAGTGAACACCAAGAAGCGTAAGTCGCCAAGCCCCGGTGCGATCGAAGACCCTGCCGCCGGTGGCAGCGCGCTGGGAAGCGGCTACGTCAACGTTCGCAAGACACTCAAAGAACTGCCTCTATTCTCAACACTACCTCCCGACGCATTACACGTTCTTGGTCTCAACGCACAGCCAAAATCCTACTCTCCCTTCACCGACATCATTCGCCAAGGCAGCCCCGGCAATGAGATATTCTTCATTGTCCGTGGTGAGGCCGAAGTGATTCACGAGCTGTCGAGCCCGCCCAGTCAGAAGCGCGTAACCCGGTCATCCTATTCTCGGCCACGGTTAAAGCAAGGACAGTACTTCGGAGAGGTAGCCAGCCTGGGGCTTTCCGAGGGCAGGACAGCGACGGTACGGTCGATCACCGCTGTGGAGTGCCTCATCATTGGTGGGGAAGCTTTGGATGAGCTCTGGAGGCGCTGTCCGCCCGAGATTAAATCTCAGGTTGAAGAGACCGCAAGGAAGCGATATCGCTCGTCTGATGAAGACGTCGAGATGGCCGATGCCGTGAGCAATGGCCTTCCAGACCGTGAGCCGTCAACGCCGTCGAAGCAGTCTGTCACGGTTCCACAGGTCACGTTTACCACGCCTTCCAAACCTGGCTCGCCAACAAAGGACGAAGCTGAGACTAGGCAGCCATCGGATCCCGACCCTTTCTTAAGCGTAGATATGGAAAACCTCCGCAACCGCCGACGCAACTCCCTCGCCCCTCCAACCCCCCAGACGGACTCGTCGCCCATCGTAAGCGGTGTCAAGCCCAACGGGATCGAGGGCATCAAGCTGTTTGCGCCTTTTATTGCGCTGCCGTTCGATGACTCCCCCATGCCATCCAAGCGCGCAAAAATACTTCAAAGTTCGCACATGCTGGACAAATGGGAGAGGCCTTTGCTTCCCGATGATGTCCTGGTTACCATTTTCGACCACCTAGATCTTGTTGAGATGATTCGGCTGAGAATCGTCTCTAGAAACTGGAGACGACTGCTCACCGAGTGTCCGAAGCTCTGCACATATGTCGATCTCAGCCCGATCAACCGGAAAGTGACGGATTGGTCATTGGCCAACATCGTAGCCCCATTTATTGGCACGCGACCGACTGAGATTGACATCAGCAACTGCTTTCACATCACCGACGAAGGCTTCCAAGCACTCTGGAAAATGTGTGGCAAGAACATCAAGATATGGAGGATGAGGAGTGTGTGGGACGTGTCTGCAGGCCAAATTCTTGACATGAGCGAGAATGCAAAAGGACTCGAAGAGGTGGACTGGAGCAACTGCCGCAAAGTTGGCGACAATCTTCTTGCCAGAGTGGTGGGATGGGTTGTCCCGGAAACACTACCGCCTCGTGAAAACAAGAACGTCGTCATCTCGAGTTCTTCGGCCAGGGGGAGGAGGGGGTCACAGAATCAGCAGAGACCAGAGAAACCGAACGCAGGCCCACCCACAGCTCTGCTTCCTCCCCCACCGGGCACTGTCATCGGATGCCCAAGACTTAAACGCCTCAATCTTTCCTACTGCAAGCACATTACCGACCGCTCCATGGTGCACCTGGCTGCCCACGCCTGCAACCGGCTCCAATCCCTGTCGCTAACGCGTTGCACATCTATCACCGACGCAGGGTTTCAGTCATGGGCTCCGTACCGCTTCACCGAGTTGACCCATCTGTGTCTTGCGGATTGCACCTACCTGTCGGATAACAGCATAGTTGCCCTTGTCAGTGCGGCCAAGAACCTCACGCACCTGGACCTCAGTTTTTGCTGTGCACTATCTGACACGGCAACCGAAGTGGTTGCTTTGGGCCTGCCGATGCTGCGAGAGCTGAGGCTCGCATTCTGCGGCAGCGCCGTCAGCGATGCTAGCCTGGGTTGCGTTGCGCTCCATCTAAACGAACTGCGGGGCTTGAGCGTCCGAGGCTGTGTTAGAGTCACTGGCAACGGAGTCGAGAATGTGCTAGAAGGATGCGGGCGACTTGAATGGGTCGATGTCAGCCAGTGCAAGAATCTAACCGGCTGGCTGCACGGTGGTGGTGTTTCGCGGTGGGGATTCGACGAGCGCGGCCAGGGACTAAAAGACGACGGCTGGAAGATTGCAAGCGCCAGGATCCCTCCCCCTCAGGGTGGGAAGATGGGGCCTGGTGGCGTGGGTGGCGGCATCAGCGTTGCCGTTCAACGAGGCTCCGGACACGCCAAAGTTCTCGGCCCCGGGCCGGTTATGCGGCCAGTAATCCCGCCCAAAGGTGCCAGCAGCCGTAAGGCGCGGAAGGCAGTGAGATTTGTTGTCGAGAAAGGGGTTGGCGGGCTGAGATGATTACAGGCGAGAGCCTTGGTTCCGCTGCATGTTCTGGAGGGGGATATTGCAAATGACGACTAATATGATGACCGACACATATGTGCCTAACGACCAGACGATATTGTATCAGGGACTAGGCTGGCATTGGTTGGGCTGTGCATAATGCATGTAACAAACATAGACAGGCATGGGGTCTAATTAGATGAGTAGAGAAAGGAGTGGCGAGGCGGACACTGTTGGATATTTGCTGGCCGGCTGGGACAGGGATTGATACCCTTTTTTTGTAATGGTTTTGGATGTTACAGATTTGCAGATTACTTGAAGATTTCACTATTAAGTAAATAATTTATTTCACGTTGGTTTTGGGATGCTGCGTCGTCGTCTATCGCCTGGCAATAAATGCACTCCGAGGACATCTTCACGAGCCGTGTTTAATTGGTCCAAGACAAACAAGCAGAAGAAGAACCAACGAACCAATCTATTGGAGACCTAGAAAAACAAAGCAAGAAAAGCAAAAAAGAAAACGCACCCAACGTGGGACTCGAACCCACAGCCTCAAGATGTAGCTACTGATTTTGAGAGAATCCACGATTTCTCGTGTTTGTAGAAGTCTTGCGCGCTACCATTGCGCCAGCCGGGTTGGTTTTTGTTCTTTTGAGAAAGGTTGCGGTAAAGGAGTCAAAGTACGGATAAGCTGGGAGACAGGGCCGAGTTTTGTGGCACCTAAGGTATCCGTATGTGGGTTCTAGAACTTTGTTTCCTTTCCCACCGCTGCGGGATTGGTTGCACATGGTTTTCTCAGGCCTGTGTCATGTGTGCAACGCTGCATCTCAAACAGGGAACCTGCCTGCTTCTCTCAACCCCCCCTTTTCAGTCTCTTCACTCGTGTTCTTCTGGTTCCTCCCTCCATACTAGCCCGGCTCGGCTTAAGACGGTGGAGCCGCAGCAGAAATCGACGGCAGCAATTGCCGACGCGAGCCCGGAGCTTCCGAGCTGCGCTACTAAGATCCGTACGGACGTAAAGGTTGTACATACATATGTACATCTACAACATTTATACGGTATGGAGCACTGAATGCTATTACGAGTAATCCATAGGTCGGGTATCCATCCGTGGGATCTGAGATGCAGCGGTGGGTTGCGGAGTAAGGCGAAATATTTCCCAGACCCCTGTCAGGCTCTCCAGCAGGCGGCTTCCTACCTCTCTCTGTAAGTTAGCTTCCCGGCTTGCCAAGTTTAGAAAACCTGGCATTTATTCACTCCGCCCTCTCAAACCGTTTGGTCAAAAAGCTTACTTAGCACGGCCAGCCAACATATTAACCCGCCGTGTCTCCAGCACATATCCTTCCCGTAATTAACATATCTTTCAAGGATCTTTCTTGTTTCTGAGAAACAAACAACAACGCCGGTCTGACATCGGCCAATCATGAGCTCGCAAGTTCCAGCCGTCCGAGTTGGCGTCGCCGCCGTCGTGAGGAGCGCAGGTGGGAAATTGGTCATGGGGGTCAGAAAAGGCTCCAGCGCGGGTATGTGATATATTTCTTTTAGTGTCGAGTTTGTAAGACGGAGACTGTTTGAACTTATGTGACTAATCAGGACCCGGTTCCTGAGCATATATCTGATATCCTCATTAAACAGTTCTTTATTTATTCTCAGAACTACCCAAATGACCAGTCACCGACACATGCATGGAATTGTAGGTAAGCGGCAATTCCCAGGCGGCCACCTCGAAGTAGGCGAAAGCTTCTTCGAGTGCGCAGAGCGCGAGACGCTCGAGGAGACGGGCCTGCGGGTTCGCGCCGAGAAGCTCGTTGCCGTGACAAACGACGTGTTTGATCCCGCGGCGAAGCATTACATGACCTTGTTTGTGGCCTGCCGGCGACTAGATGAGACACAAGAGCCAGAGGTGAGTCGGTGGAGCCTTTCCGTCTTGTTTGATGTGAAGCCTGTCATGTTCAGTTCCTCCCCTTTTTCATCCCAGCAGTGCCAGGCTGCCACTGAGACTGTAGTCATGAACGCTGACGGGACGTCGTGATTTGATTCTCTATGCAGACGATGGAGCCTGAAAAGTGCGAGGGATGGTATTGGACAACTTGGTCGGAAATCAAGGAGCTTGCGAGCAGCGAGGAAGGCAAAGAACGATTCTTTCTGCCTATCATAGACCTCCTCGGCGAGCATGCTGATGTCGAAAGCCTATTTGAGGAATGATTGTGATTGGCAATCGTTCGCCTTTTCATATCGCTGCATATGCGTATTGTCAGAAGTACCTATATATTATCTTTGGTATTTGTAAAACAAACATTTCCCGCCTCCCCAGTTGATAACTAATACGCGTATTGCTATTTTCGGGTTGATAAATCTGTGACCGAAGACTGCGCTTAGGAAGCTGAACAACAAAGCCAACGGCAAGGAGGTTGTTATTGGTGATAGTGGTCAAAGCCCTGACAATCCGGCGAAACTATGATACGCAGGACCGTCATAATACTTCAAGTTAGATTGCACGGCTGACAAATTCCACATGGGAATGTCTTGAGCGGGGTGGGCTTCGCGCACAGTCCACGCTCAGTGGACGGTAGAGGATGCTTAACCTGCGCACTTTCTTAAGAAGGGATAATAGGTGGGCTTCCGGGTGTGCTCTGAACCGTGTATGTACCAGGCGCCTCATCACGAGAGCATTCTGTATTCCGTAATACCGCATTTTGGCATCTTATTCCCAAAAGTCTCTCAGTATCATAATTGGCCAATGTTGTACACGAACTGCGGGGAATTATTGGACTGGTCAAAGCAGATGCGTCATCGAGTCCGAGAACAGTGCGAGAAGGGCGTCTCTGTGCAAATGTGCATTCGAGACTCGGCTTCAGCACTCGCCAAAAACGGTATGTCAAAGGCATCCTCGTTCGGGCTTCGGACGATGTCGGCGGAAGTAGAGAACAGTTTAGGTATTTAGCTGCATGTTGGTAGCATTGGCTTAATTCCGAACTGTTCAGTGTCCGGTCACCAGCCCGCCAACCTGCGTTGACCGCCGCTCGTGTCCTAGTGTCCAGTGCCAAGCGCCTACTGCCCAGTGCCCATGCCCGGTGTCCAGCCCTGTACCCGCCACCAGTCAGTCATTTCGCAAACGTTATCACCACGCCCCGCCCTTGTTACTTCGTACCTACCCCCCCCTCTAGCTCTTCGTCGCCAAGGCGCCAGTCTTTTCTCAAGTTCTTGAACCTAAAGATCCACCTAGTTCGAGAATCGCTGAAAGACAAGCTGCCTTGTCGCTTAAGATTCCACGACAAGTCGCTGCCACGCTCCCGTAGACCCCGGAAAAAGGAGAAGGAACAAGCTACTGAGACAGACGGGCTGCGCACATGCTGCGCTGATTCATCTGCATCCGCGCCATCGACGCCGGTTTGTCTCTCATCTTCCACACCATCGAACACTCGACCACCGACCCCGCTGCTTCAGGCACGGGCACACGACCTGGGAATATTGTTCGTCGGACGCCGAAGTCCGCGCCGCCAATCCACCATGACGGGAGACGAGAGTTCGAATGCGGGAGGCGGCAGCGCCCATGGGAGCCCAGTTGCCGACGGGGCCGCCGCGCAGAGTCCCCCGGATGCCGGCTACGATGCTCAGCAGATCCAAGCCCTCGCCCGCCACCCACCCCCCGGTGCTTCTGTCTATTCCCCCTCCGCCCCTCCCCTGGGAACTCTTAACCCCCGTAGTTGCGTAACATGTCGCAGGAGGAAGGTCGGTACCATCCCCCCTTTTCGGCTCTCGCTTTCCAACAACATAGCTAGCCACTGTTCCTGGTCGCGTTCGGGCGTGCCTGCTAACTGAACGAAGGTGCGCTGCGATAAGCAAATGCCCTGCTCCAACTGCCGGAGAGCCCAGATCCCGTGCATCTTTCCTGCGCCAGGAAGGGCCCCGCGCCGCCCGCGTCCGAAGCAGCCGAACGCGACCGCAAAACCGTCGAGCGAGCGAGAACTGGAGCTAGTAAAGCGCCTGCGGAAGCTAGAAGGCATCGTGGAAGAACTGAGCGGCCAGATCGAGCTTGAGGCGGTGCGACATCCTTCGAGTTCGGGAAATTCGCCCGACCATGTGGCGGGGTCGCACGAGGACACGCACATGGGAGGAGTGCGCCACGGCGCCGGGGACAGTGCTGTGAGCCTGAACGGCAGCAACTACAGCCAAGACTCGCCGACCATGAGTGCAGTGGCAGCGGCAAGGCTCTCAAAGACGCCAGGCAGTGCGGTGTCTAGCAACACCCCAGGCTCTGAACCCCAGAGGAAAACATCATCCGATGTTCATACCCATTTCGGACGGCTGCTGCTGAACGAAAAAGGAGGCGCACGATACGTCAGCAGCGGGTTCTGGTCCAACATTAATGACGAGGTACGAAGCCGCATTCCATTTGCTGCGCTGACGCACCACATACCCGATACTGATTTTGCGTACAGTTGGAAGAGATACGGCGACAGGCTGACCACCTTACCGATGATGATTTTGACGAGTCGGACGAAGAGGGCACCCCAGATTCGACGTATCCGGAGAAGAACACGACAGACCACCAGTCCTTCGTCATGGGATACCGCTCCGCCGACGTGGACCTACGACCCCTCCACCCCCTACCCTCCCAGATACCCTTCATGTGGCAGGTTTACCAGGAGAACATTGATCCCATTCTCAAGATCCTCCACGTCCCAACGGTGACGAAGCTCATGCGAGACCTCCGCAACAACATGGACAGCCTGACGCCCCCTACCGAGGCATTGATGTTCTCCATTTACTATGCCTCGATCACGGCATTAGAGGAAGACGAAGTAGGTCGTTCTCACGCTCTTTTGCGGTTCGCTTTGCTAATACTAGGCTAGGTGCGCCTAAATTTCGGAGCGGAGAAGTGTGTTTTGGCCCAACAGTACCGCTTCGCGCTTGAGCAGGCCCTGGCCAAGGCGAGCTTTTTGACCACGCCTGATATCACAGTTGCCCAAGCCTTCCTCTTATTCCTCGTCTTGGTGCGCCGGCACGATGACACGCGCTTTACCTGGACGTTGACTAGCCTCCTTATCCGGATGAGTCAGGCATTGGGGCTTCACCGCGACGGGACGCACTTTCCGAATCTTACGCCCTTCGAAATTGAGATGCGGCGGCGCCTCTTCTGGGGTGTATGCATGCTCGATCTTCGGTCGGCCGAAGACCAGGGAACCGATCTTACACTCGTCGAACGTGCCTTTGACACCAAGTTCCCACTTAACATTAACGACAGCGACATCTCGCCGGACAGCAAGGAACCGCCGAAACCAAGGCGCGGCCACACAGATCTGACCTTCTCGCTAATTCGCTTCGAGATCTGTGCTCTCGTGCGACGCCTGCATATGGCGTCGTCCTCCATGGCGTCTCTCTGTCCCCGTGATGCGGCGTATTCGCTGGAAGAGCGAGAAGCGCTGCTGAACGATCTTTATCAGCGGTTACACAGAGACTATCTCCAAGGACACTCTGACGAACCCATGTATTGGGTAGCCGCCATTATCATCAGAGTCATCGTTGCCAAGATGACGCTTGTGATATACCAACCCGTCTTGTTTCCAGGCCCGGGAAACGAACACCTCTCCGCCGATATACGCGCACGTCTGTTGATTTCTGCCATCGAAGTCT